CCGCGGGGGGGGGGGGGGGGGGGGGGGGGGGGGGGGGGATCCAGGGCAGGCCCCGGGAGGGAGCTCGGCCCTGTGGTTGTGGTAGGGGAAAAGGGTCGGGAACTTGTGGCAGGCCCTTCCCTAGAGCAGCATCCCGGCGTGGGGATGCAATTCCCTCCCGGATGGTCACCCTGTGTCCCGTAATGGGGGAGAGACCTGGGAGTACTCTTAACATCTTTTCGTTCATGGCCTGTCTGTCAGGGAGCTCGGCCCTGTGGTTGTGGTAGGGGAAAAGGGTCGGGAACTTGTGGCAGTCCCTTCCCTAGAGCAGCATCCCGGCGTGGGGATGCAATTCCCTCCCGGATGGTCACCCTGTGTCCCGTAATGGGGGAGAGACCTGGGAGTACTCTTAACATCTTTTCGTTCATGGCCTGTCTGTCATTTTCCTTGGTGCACAGATTTCCTGTTTTGAAAACTAGGCTCATAGCTTTGTTGGGGTTTTAAAGCCCGTAGTAGAAATAAGATTCTCTAATAACTGCATTTAGTATCCCATTAGTTTTTGCGGCTTGTTACTGATTTGGGAAAGCAATTGTAAATGCCCCTGGATGGATTCACTTTGCCCCCTGTAACTTAGATCTGCAGCGTTTGGAGGAAACGGCAGGGACAAAATGGACAGTTAATAAAAGGAACAATTGTATACCGCCTATTCTAGAGGGCACTTGCTGCCCTTCAAGAACTTTCCTCATCGCATATGCTCTTTATACAGCAAATCTTTATCTTCCGTCTCTTTTTTTTTTTTTTTTTTTTTTTTTTTTTTTTTTTTTTTTTTTTTTTTTTTTTTTTTTTCCCTACCTTAGTCCAGAAAATGAAACTGGAACAGACATTTCTGGAAATGAACTTGATTGGTGCAGTTGGAAAGATGTGATTCACAGTTATAATGAACATTGAAATTTGTCCCATTTTTTCACAGTTCAGTATTCGAATTGTATATTTCCTGATTTTTAATGTGTTTACACAACTATGCTGTTTGTTTGGTTTGGTTTTGTTTGTTTTAACCCTTCAAATAATGGCATCTGTTGTGTTGGATTGCCAAGAGGTACCTCAGATACATCCAGTATATAGAGGCAGCTGTTACGCTAGAGGTATATGATGCTTTACTCTATGAAGTAAAAGGTTTAAACAAGCGTTATTTTCATCTTATAATCCCTTTCTGTGCGTGGAAGAACCTAAGCTGTTGTCAGTGAAATCTAGAGTTTGGGGAGATCTAGTATTTCCAGGATTGGCCAAAAATAAATTATGGGGTAAAGAATGTTGCTTTTTTTTCTCCTAGTCGTGCAGCATGAATGAAAAGCTCTGAAGCTTTTAGTCGTAACACTCTGGTCCCATGTTTTCCTTTTAATAAAGCATCCAGTGGGAGAATGTGACATAATTGGTTTCTTGGATTTAGAGATCTTGAAATGGCTGGTACAACAGATAGAAGAGGAAACGCTCCAGCAGGGTTATGGTTTAAATACAGTAATATGGTGGCAGAGTCATGTTATTCTTGCGTTTGTCTTGCGAGAAAATGCTTTCTACATGGTTATGCTGCAGAACAGGCACTTTTGAGTCTCGTCAGTGGCACAGAATGTTAAATCTCTCTCCTTTCCCTGCATTGCATAATCTGAGTGTTGTTCTCCCATAGCAGCAGAAATGATGGAAGAATTGCATAGCCTGGACCCACGAAGGCAGGAACTACTGGAGGCCAGGTTCACTGGAGTTGGGGTTGCTAAGGTGAGTATAAGTACCTTTAGTAACAGACATGACTGCTTATCCATCCTGTGCTGCACTTTGTTTTTTTTTTTAATTTCTAAATTGATAATTTTGCTTTGCTGGCAGAATATTTTGTATTGATAGTTGTGTTTTGACCGCTAATTTGCGTGAAGTATGTTTCAGAGGAATGAAAATGGGATCACTATGAGCAGATGTTTTGCTATACAGAAGATTTTGGCTTCTGATTACGTTCTTAGGAGTTGCTCCATCTTAAGGCAGCTTGTACACCCCAAAAAAACCCATGACAACTTTGTCTTGGAAGTGGGGAACTCATCTGTCTCGTCTCTTCTCCAAGTATGCATTTGAGAACTGAATTTGGCCGCTCGTTAGGTACAGTTTCAAGTTTACTGTGTTTGATACGACGTATAACCAGACTTAATATATTCAGGAATTTGTGCAGTTCTTTGTGGGTGCAGCGTGCTAAAATTGTGTACTCGGTCGCATAGAACACACACAAAAAGTACTTGAAGGTAAGCTCTCCTATACCTGTGATCCACAACCTGCTAGTAAAATCCCATCTTTGTCCTCGTGTGCAACTTCATAACTGTTCAGTAGCTGCCTTTCTTGAGTAAGGCAATTAAATAATAACATTGTGTAGTTGCTTGATATACTAGCATTAAGCTCTTAGTTCTCCAGATGTTGTTGGTAGTGTTAATTGATAGTCTCTCTGAGCAATGAAGTGGTGGCAGAACTCATCTTAAACTAGGTCAGTGATAAGGAGTTTACTTTTGAGGAAGATACTGAGTTTTGGGCAACATCAAGGTAGATGGTAAAACAACATATTGCTAGATAATTTTCAGAAACCTCTTGGAATTATTTAGGGAAGAAACTCTGTAGATGCTGTATTTCTTAGAAAAATTCAAAGCAAATCAGAACTTGAAAAAGGGTATCGTTTGAGTTCACACTTTTCTTTCTGATCTGTACTTCAGTCAGGACTCAAACAAGGCTAAGTCTTGGAAGGGAGCATGAGTAAAATGTTCAGCTGTAAGGTAGTGAGCGTAGTAAGGAAGATTAATGCTAGAAGTTGTTCAGGGGTAATAATTTCAGTTACTTCAGTAAGAGTGTGGGGGTTTTTTGATCTTTACCCCACTTTTTTAATCTTAAGGCTTTTACTAGCATAAAAGTTTATGCTACATAATGTATTTATGATCTTGAAAGACTCGTTTTATACAACACTGCAACTTTTAATGTATTTTTTCATCTGTTTCTTACCTCTTCCTCCCATGTGTGTCACTTTAACATCTTTCGCTACACCAATACAGACAAAGCCAAACAACTTTCTAGAATAGCTAAGACTTAGAAGCATAGACACTGTCATTGCTTTAAAACAGTGCCAACATACTCAATGTTCACAAAGAATGTTAGGAACTACTATTTTTAAAGGAATAACCTTTAAAAGATACCGGAAAGCAAATCTTAATTATGTTTTCAATATGTTTGGAGCAGAAAGTACATGCCCTTTCTCTGTAGGGTGAATATTGAAAAGTCATTTTTGTTTCTAAAGCATATCAAAGTAAAAAAGCCTCGTTTCTTGGAGGCTTCACTTTGAACAAAGCTCTTCTGTTACTGAGTTTTATTTTTACCTGTTGTTATGCAGTATAGTGTTTTACTTTGTATTAGTCAGTAAACTGTTAAAGTGCATTACACTTATTTCAAACAATATATATTTATTTACCTGCATACTTGCTAATTTGCAATAGATCAGCCAACCATTGATATGAATTAGCATGACTCTAGTATGTTGCAGCAAATCTCGGTTGCAATATTAATCTCAGATACTACATTCCCTCCCAGGTTGGTGCTTCAAATTCCCTCCCTACCCCCCCAAGTCTCCGTCCGTCATGCTCCGCACTGGCATTGGTAGGTCATTGTCTTAAAGGGAATATATTGGGAAAGCTGTGATACAATTTGTATGATTCAACTAAGATTTTTAGCTCTCTCCAATTAAATGTTGAAGGAAGGCTACATAGGGTAAGTTAGTGCCATCTAGTGGGACTGGGACTGGCACATCCTCCTGGGATAGAAGGTATTCTGTTGCTGTTTATTGCATAAAAGGAAGAAATGTCATCTTAGATGTGCTCCTATTGGGTGAAGGCAGCAGGCAGTTGTAACTGAGCTTCCTGCCTTCCACTGACTTGGTGTATCACTTAGTGTGTTTGGTTAGGTTTCTTTAATGTTTAAAAATACAGGGTATATTTTGGACCTGTGTAAAACTAACGTACTAGTTTACATCCTTAATACAACTGCAGCTTTAAAGCCCACTTTCCCTGCATGTTTGCAAGTAAAGAACAACTATATGTGTTTCTGAGAATGAATAAGACTGTGCTGATCTAGAATAAATTTTTAGGCTTGAAACTAGAAAAAAGCTTCTAGTCATCAGAATAATGGGATTCTGGAAGAGCTTTCCAGTAACAGTAGTAGAGGACAGAAATCCTAAACTGTTTTGGAAACAGCTGTGTGCTGTCACCTCCTATGGTAGCTGAAGGTACAACCCAATGACTGAGGTCATTTGCAGTCCCAGATGCCTCAAAATTCTGTTGCAAGTCTGTGATGAATTATCTCACTTAGTAGCTGGAGAATATATTTCTCTAGAAGCTTGGAGTTAATACATGGAATCAAATCTACGAGCAAGGAATGTTTCTAGGCAACTGTTATACTCCTGTGGTTCATCCAGGTCACTAGATCGCTTCAAAAAGCCAGTGATGCTTTAGATGTCTATTCTTGCCATATGGTAAAGTGCCATTCTTCCCCAAATTTGCAAAGCAAGTCCTTGAATTAACACGTGACTATCTGACACCTACCAGTATTCGTGCTTATTTAGCTCCCGTTTATGTTTACTTGCTAGGGGAAATCTAAGTGTATTCACTTGAGGCATTATTCTGACTAGTAATCTCAGACATCTTCCTTGGGTCAGTAGGTACAGAAAACAAAATGTAGTTTGTTTCTCTAGATAACATTGTTTAGCTTGATCTGTTCTCATCTTGTGTTTCCCTTCCCCCTGTCTGGGTGCTGCCTTTAAGATATCAGGCGGGTTAACTCCAAAGGATTTGTGTCATTTCCACAGACTTCTCCTGGACAAGAATTGGAATAGGTAATTGTGATAGGTGAATCTGTATTTGCACACAGCTTGTCTCGGGCTTAACCGGGGTGGATCATCACAGCAGCATGCATATCTTCTACAAGTTTGGTCTTTAAAAGATCTTTGAACTAAGTTGTATGTGCTACTTGATTATAGCTAAACTTAAAAGGCTGAAGTGTTTCTAGAAAGAGTAACCTTCTCCATCGTGCTGTAGGAATCTTGTCGATCAAATGACTGTGCTAGAACTGAAGAAGTATTGGTCTTGGTGGTAGCTGCTGCTCCCTTTTCTCCCTCCTTGAGGTATTTTAAAGAGGGAAATGAAAATAACCTGAAGAGTGTCACTTACATTGCAGAACATCTGCCTCCAAAAAGAGAATTGCTCATAAAAAAGAACAGCATTTACTTGTATTATTTTGGGTTTTACCCTTTCTCTGTCACTCTAGCAGTCTTGATCAGTTCAGTAACTACCAGTTATGTGGTCTACTTAGCGACGTTTTTAGCAGCAAAGTTACGAAGTTGAGAATTAACGCATGAGAATAATCACGTCTTCCTTGGAGGGAAGCAGTGCTGCCCAGTGATGGTCCTTAACAGGTGTCACATGCTACCAGATCTAGTTAATAACATTTTTGAAACTTAGAATTGAATTATCAGTTACCACAGACAGTGTCAGGACTTCATGCCAGATACTTGAAAATTGTTTGGATGCTTCTGTGTGCAACATTACTGAATTCAAATGTGTTGTCTGGCCACTAGAGCCCAGAAATAGTTGTCAGATCTCAGTTCTATTTCTGCCCCTGAACTGAGGGTTAGGGTGAGTTGCATGACCCTTCTGTCCAGTTTGCCATGAGTAAAATAAAAATACCATTTTTTCATCCTGAGAGAACTCCTGAGGCATAACGGAAGCCAAAAAATCCTATTGCAAATCTGCTTACCCATCAGATATAGCGGATGTTACCTGTGAACATCTGATAGATTAACTTCTCATGGCAAAAAGACATAGGTGACTCAGGGATTTCATTATTGGCTATAATACTGAGCTTTTCTAAAAGCATAATTCAGAAGCAGGCTGTAATTCTCATATTTATGTGATTCTTGAAATAAGATAAGAATATGTTAATCAAACCTGGCTTATACAGTAGCACTGGACCAGAGTAACTGGAAAGCCATTCAACCATTTCACTTTGGTGTAAGCCTGTGCAGAGTCAGCACTAACTTAGTGGAACTAAGGATTGACTTTTTCCCTTTGAAATCTCTTGATTTGCTACAGAACTTGGGAGAATTAGGGTTATGTTGGCTTGAGGCAGTGAAGCATGTCTCCGCCATTGAGCTGGCAAGAGAATTTTGCAATGCATGTTGCTGTAAGTCCACGTTGGAGACTCTGGCTAGGCAGCTTGAATTCCTAGAGCTTTCTTTCTATACGAGAGAGTTGGAGAGCACAAAATGAAGAGTGCCCAACAGAAGACTTGCGGACAGGCCTGAGGGATCATTTTTGGGAGCTTGGAGAGGCTGAGGAAATGAACAAGTCATGCGAGGCAGTAGATGGGCTCTAAGAGGAGATAGGTAAGGGCAGTCTGAGTCAGGCTGGCTTTGTTATGGAAGATCCGATGGGAGCTATTATCAGGCTAAGTTGTTTCTATTGAAACGGCAGCCATTGTGCCTCATTTGTGGCCTTTCCAGGGCTCTTGCAAAGGGAGAAATGACTAACCAGCTCGTGTGAGTGGACAGATTTTAAATTCTTGCCTTTGAGTAGGAGTCTTGAAAGTGCCTGCTACTGTTGCATCCACTTCTCAACATGGAGGTTTTGTTGTGTATAGGTAGGTCACGGACTTAGAAGCAGCAGTTGATAGGTGAATCACAAGGGAAAAGAGCATGCCAGCTTATCTCAGAAAGAAATTCCTTGTGGAGGAGGAAGTGTGTGCTGTTCTTGTGCTTGTCATTTGGGTAAACACTATAGAAACTATTAGCTTATTTCAGATGACCCACGTATTTTGAATTTTTGCTGAGCCCCATCACCGATTCTCTTGACAGAGTACAGTGGATGAGTGGGTTGTAAGTGATATCAGAGAAGTGCCGTGTTACCCCAAAGTAGGCTATGCTAGAAAAGCTAGATGCCAGTGCAGATGACTTCTTCAGGAACAAAATTGATAAGCCCTTCCTGTGAAAACTATTGCATGTTTATTATTCCCTGCTACTACTTCCCCAGCAGTATTCTGATGTTAGTATTCTTTGTCATTGCGTAGTTGTTTTTTTCCAAAATTCAGGTTTGTTCCTTTAATTCCTTTTATGTCATGACCACTTATAATGGCATGCTGAATTAAGTACTGAACATTTATCCAATGTCAGTTGCCGAGTTAAATATAAACAGTCAGGAATGATAAAACATAAATTTGAAGGTTTCTTTATACACACACTCGCTGACTGTTAGTTGAGTGGAAGATGCTTAGATGTATAGTTTCTCATATCCATTGTCTAAACCTGTTGGCTATAAGCAGTTGATAACATGAGGTAATGTGTGAAACTAGATATCTAGCTGGCTGATCAGGAAAACTTGCTTTTTCTTTCTTTTGCATAACTACGTGAGAAGAGGTGCAGCTGAGGACTAGGTCATGTTCCTTAAACATCCTAGGTATTGCATCTTTATTGCTTCGAGTACAGCATGTTCTAATGAACAATTTGTGTTTCCATAGCTGGAATACCTTAAAACAAGACTTTTTTGCCAACTTTGACATGAACAAGATGCTTCAGTTCCTTGCCTGTAAAACAGGCCTAATCCTTTACTGTAAGAGGAGTGTCAGTGGAAGGCCAGCTAGAAGATCATCAAGAGAGAGGAAAGCTCATGCAGTGGAAGTGGGTCAAAACTTGCCTACAAGGAATTAATTCTGCATTTGTTCACAATATCAATACACATGACAGTGAACTTGCTCAATACTTAACAGACATCTGACAAGCTGTTCTTTTCTGGTTCCATAACTGAGTAGTTAGTTCCTTTTTACCCTTTCTACTGCTGCGTTGGGTTCAATTTTACAATTTTGTCAGTATAGTTTCTAGAGGAAGTTTTAAAGTAAAGGGAAAGTAGGTTTTTTGCTCTTCAAGAATCTGTGATCAGAACTGAACTGTTCTTTTGTTGATGCAAAAAATGGGTTTGATTCCAACTGCTAGAGCTGTAAATTTCCTGTGCAGAACAGTCGGTACAGGTAGTTGTGGTGCTAGAAGTAAGAAGAACATTGTGAATTTTGTATTAGGCATTTTTCAAGCTGCTTGCATTCCAGAACTTTACATTTGGATGCAAACTGAGTGGATTTTTTGTTCTGGAGATGATAAACTTGTATTTCTGAAAAAGTCTTAGTATCATTTCTAACTATCAATGGCCTCACCAGTTTATTTCTCCAGGTTACCCTGGAAGACACGTCATTGCTGAAACATTGACCCTTCGTAAGCCACTGACATACCCTTTCAACCACAGTGTTCCTGAAAAGCTCAAATGTGGCATTTTGGGAGCAGCTGTTCCTGTCATTTGTTATCCATGGGCAAAATGGAGGCAGCGAGTTTTAAGCAAATGTGGAAACAACTTTCACTTTCATCTTCATCATGTCAGAACCCCAACCTGTCCATCTGAGACCAGTAAATGCTAATTTGTAGATGCTCCTGCACCTAATAAAGCTTGCACAGGAAGTTGATGTCTTGGATGTGCTGCTGGGGTTTGAGTTCATGAGAGGAAGTGAAGGATTTTAGAGGACAGCATTTGTGCAGTTTATAAACAAGCTTTTTACATGGATGAAAAGATCAACTTTCTGTTGCCACTTGCCATAAGATATTACTTTTTTTTTTTTTTATCAATAAAGCCTTCATATGGATGTGGCTAAGGTTAGTGTTGGCACTTCTGTTAAGTCCTGTTGGCCAAGGAATAAATCCCTGGAATAACCAAGAGTTGTACCTATAAGATTTCTGAGCCATCATGTTGGGTGGTGGGGAGCTTGCTTCTTTGTTTAAAAAGCAGCTATTGCTGAAGAGAAGAGGTAAAAATATCTTTCTGGTCTTGAACTATTTGTGTGATGAGTTCAAGGGGTAATGGTGTGACTGAAAGAGTATAAATCTGCAATTTTTCTTAAAGTAATTTGCTTTTAAAAAGGAATTCTAAATGTGTAGCTTCTTGAGCTATTCAAGTGGTGGGGGGTGTGTGTGTGTTTGTTTGTTTTGTTGAAGCAACTAAGCGTGTCCTTTTAGGAGAAACAAATTTAGTAGTTAACACTCACAGTGTAATACAGAAGGTAAACAGAACTTTTACTTTCTGTGGATGCCTGCTTGGAAATTGGGGTTAGTAATAGCTAAGTTGTGTCACAAATTTAATTTGATGGTGGTGGTCGTCTTGTAAATGGGGGAGGGAGAACTGCTCTCCTCAAAAATAGTCTACTGTGGGATTTCTCTGTGGTGTTAAGGCTTCTCCCACACCCCTCCCATAAGTCTTCAGCTCAAGTATATAATGAGAAGTGGCTTTGCCTTGAGGAAAGATTGATTGGTAGGAAGCAGTTACTGCAAAAATAAGAATGCTAAAATAGATTAAATCTTTGGGAAAAGATGCTTACAAGTTATTAATGGAAAGGTGGTTTATCATGCCATTCTTCCTGTTAATACATTCCATCGGTAATTGTGAATCTTGTTTTTATATCTTAGTCAAATTCGTCTAGATTTCTTACGTTAGATCTGTGGGAGGATGCTTTCGTGTCAGAGCACTAGGCTAAAACACAGTGACTTTGCATGATTCACTTTTCTTTCCTTTTAAAACCAGTTTTGATATAGTTTTTTAGAAAGTAATTTTCAAAAATGCTTGGATACGTAAAAATGCAGATGTGTATCCAGTAGAGCCTGCAAAGATGCAGGCAGACTCTTGTGGGTACTTGGACACTATTTCAGTAAATATATTCCAGTCTCTTGAATTTGTGCTTTAGCCTGGTAGGAACAACTGCTCTGTTGGCAGGTCAGCCATGGGTCCATAAAATAGCCTAGTGAGAGAGATTGTCTTATGGGTACCAGTTGTACTGCTGTTAAGACAACTTTCACTTGTTCGCTTTCTTAGTGTTAAAAAAGCATAAAAAATATGCATTTAAAGAAAAATCAGTGGTACTGCCAGCATCTGATAACAGTAATAGCTGCCTTGCTAGATGGAAGATGCCTCTAAATTCTTAGCCCAGGATCAAGCAGATGCTTGCCTGAAGAACTGAGCTTGGAACTACTGCTGCTCAACAAATCATAAGTTTTGTTTCTCAAGCCAGTTGTCTTAGACTTTTATGAATACTGCCGTAGCTGTCTTGTGAATGTGGTTAAATAGGGCGGTTAGGATATAAGTTGATACAGAAGTATCATTGCAAAGGCTGGATCACTATACTAGAAAAGACTGTCCAACTAGCAGTCCAACTTCTGCCTTGCTCCAAACGACTTCTGAAGCTGTTTAGTGCCCCATCATGTGTCTGGGTATTTGACCCGGGTTGCTGCTGTATCCATGTGACTTAGAGCAGTGTAGTTAGCCTGGAGATGCAATGTTTGATAGGACGTATCTGCCTTGTATGGAAATTGTTTCTAACAGTCTTTACTTGTTTTTCACTAGGGTCCATTAAATAGCGAGTCTTCCAACCAGAGCTTGTGCAGCGTGGGTTCGCTGAGTGATAAAGAATTGGAGGTAAGCAGGCAGAAATCCTCATGGTAATCGGGTTTAAGGTGGACATGATTGAACTCAAAACATAGAAGGAATGGTGTGAGAGTAAGTGACAGTGTTCTTTGTTTGGGGTGTGAAAGGGACTAGTGGAAGTATTTAGCCTAGCTCTCAACCCTACAGTCTTTGGACCGTGCTGTGAAACAGTCCTCCTTGAAGCTTCCCACCGTAGCAGGCAGATTTTACCCAACCCCAAAACCACAGCATTTGTAAAGCTCAGCTTATTACATTGTTTTCAGCTGCATTGTGTGATTTGTTTGCTGGTTTTGGATACAGTTTTGGCCAAATAAAAAGCCAGAGAACATTAATGGACAAGTTTGCCTTACCTATCAAATATGTGAATTTGCAGAAGTCTGTACAAAGCAGAGCATTTTTATGAATGGTTCTGTGGAAGTGTGGGGAGGTGAAAATTGATGCTTTGTCCCTGTTTAATCTCACTGCTTTAGGATTAACTATTTCAAAACACTTGCTAAAGCAGCAAAATTAATTGTAGAGTTACATTTTTACTTTAAAATTCCATGTTAATAAAGCAAAATCTCAAATTTAAATGCATTTTCTTAATGCATTTAAAGAACTTCCCACATGGTTATCAGGTAAGTTTTGGATCATATTTCCCTCTATTATATGGCAGTACTGATATGAGGTGTCTGGTGAAGCTGAGTCTTTCGAGAACACAATATCTTAAACTCCATAAAAGTAAATGTAGTTAATAATGGAAATCTGAGTATTCATTCTTATTTTACTTGTTTTTTTTTTTATGAACTTCTGTGGAGTGATTTAAATTGACCAAGCTGACATAATCAGCTATTTCAGTCTGTAACAGATAATGTTGTATGTAATTTTTGTTATGTAAGTAAGTACTTGAATGGAATAACAACTTAAACTGAATCTCATTAATATGCTTACAGTTCTGTGGAGGCTGTAATGGAGCCTGTGGTGTTACAGTCACCCCAATGCTGTTACTGAGTTGCTCTTCACTATGCAGTGAGGAGGCTAAGTCATTGACTTTTACACATACAGGAGCTGGTACACCAAATCTCTAGATAGTTACAGAGTTTTCAGTCCCCCCATTCTAAAAAGTACTTTGCAGACACAATACCCACCTGTGTCTTAACATCCCTTCCATGCTCTTACCAAAACAATAACATGTCGGTGACTGGCCAGCTGGTAACATGGGACTGTAGATGTCCAGCATCCACTGGGGACACAGCCAGGTTTAGATTCTGGCTGTGTTAGCTTTATCCTTTTTATCCTATTAAAGGAGGTAGATTGATTTCTGTGCTTACTGTGTGCAAGTCTTTTGGCAGAGATCTTTAAACAGGGTACTTTGGACTTTGATTTCCAAAGAGCATGAAACTTAGGTTTACCACAAACTTTCTGGCCATGGCTTTCCCTCCCCCAGAGTTGCGTTTTGCACACTGTGGTTTTCTTCCTGCCACCAGGCTATAGTTTAGTGGTGGCTGCAGTGATTGTAAAGCATATAGCTCAGAAATTATTTGGGACCCTTTGGGATAAGAAATGTTTTTAAAATGACGTTGGTGATGGAAATGATGAGATAGCTTGCTTTCCAGCAACCTCAGTCAGCTGCTTCTAGCGCAGTGTTTCCTAATGTTTTCAGCAGGTTTGGCCACGTAAGTGACCCTGGTGATGGGGAAAGCACCATGACGGGGTCTCCTCCATTCTCACGTGTCTAGGCTTGCTACCCTTGTACAGACATATAGGCATGACACTTCTGGAGTCTTCAAGCCTCCCACCTGTGCTCTATACTGTGCCTGTGCATAAATATATCGCTGTCCACTGAGAAGCTGCCCCTCAGGTCTCTGGTTGCTCACAGAAATGGCAGATGCAACCAACCCTTGACTTTAATGAGAGAGAAGTCCAGATGAATTGCTGCATCTGTGGCAGCTTTCTCCTGTCTGCTGTCTTGGGGAGCTCTGCCTTATTTTGTGTAATGCTGCAGTTGTGCACCAGTAGACAGGATAGTTCTTGTAGCCATCTGCAAAGAGCTTTGGGAAGAAGCATTAGCTGCAAGCAAGATGAATTGTCCTGGTAGACTGTAAGTAGCCACTGGACTGCAAATTTGGATGTCTGTACTCAATCCTCTTGTCATTACTCCTCTTGTACCAGTACTGTGATCACCATGAAATGGTTTATACAGGTTTTTCTAAGTGTTTGAACTTGTTCTGCTAACTGTGTGAAGTAACTGGGCAGTAGATGCTGACTTGCTACAGCTGAAATAAAAAACAAAAAAAATTAACCTCATTCCTAACTGTGTTCTCTCCCTTCTGCAGTGCATATTATCAGAAGGGAGTAGCTATTTGAGAGCAGTTGTTTCTTTTAAGTACCAGCAGTAAAAACAAATGCACCAGAGAAGTGAAATGGCCACTGGGGATATGGAGCAGATTATTGTGTTTTAGTATTTTCTTTAAATCTTGGAATAACTGCAGAAATGTTAATTTTGAAGTATTGTTTAACAGACTCCTGAGAAAAAACAGAATGACCAGCGGAACAGAAAAAGGAAAGCAGAAGCGTATGAGACCAGTCAAGGTAATTCATTCTCCTGACCCTGCTGCAGGATTTCTGAACAGTTGGTAATTTGTGCACGTTTTGCACAGTCAGTGTCCTAGGAAACTAATGGCTTTTCTCAAGGGTGTGTCAGGCAGCTTGTTATAAACTACTCCATGATGGTGCAGCTCTCTTCTGGGAGCCTTGTTATCCTCATTGGTAGGAAAATACTTGTCTTGAGCTTATTCGCAGAAACGGTTGCATTTTTATGGGACAGACTGCCCAAAGGCTTAATATGGCTTCTCTGAAGTGTTGTTTTGGTCCTGCGTCACTATGTATACAGCAGCCAGACTTCAAAATACAGGCTGTACTCTCTTCCTTGCTTCTTGAGACGTATGCCTGCCTTGTTAGAGTAAGTTCTTACCACAACAAATAGAGAACAAACTGTGCTCAAGTATAGAGCAGGCAGTGGTGTCTTAGAGTACTAAGAAAAACCCATTGTGTTCAAGTCCAAGTTCAGATTTTCTAGCAAATGGGCATGGGGGCAGATTTCTACTTCTTTTATTCTTCAACAAGAAAGTAACAAGGATTGTGTTGACAACTGCTTTGATAATATTATAATAAGAGAAAAGGGCTAAGTTTTAATGAGCTGGTATTAAGCCACCACTAATTATCTCTCTAACTCTTATAGGAATGCTTGTGAGAGATCTAATACGCAGTAATTTACCTGAAGGCTGAGGAGTAAAAGTACCCTTTGCTCTGTCCTTATCTTGAAGGAAATTTTGGAGAACCTATGCAATGTTCAATAATGTTTAGTGTTTTCTAACTACTTTAGCAAGTGCAAATGCTGTTTGATTGGATTTGACATGTTTGGAATTAAGAGTTAATTGAATTGTCAACTGTAAACCCTCACAACAACAGCACAAGAGCTGTAACCGTGGGGCAGTCTTTTGTTGTGCAGAAGCTTTTGTTGTGATACGTGCTGTACCTTTCTACAGGGTGTCAAGATATAGGAGCAGTTTTTTAGAATGGCATCATGACTTCTGTTCTTAAAAATATCAGCTCTTATTTTCATCCTTTGTTTTCCTTTTTTAGGAAAAGGCACTCCTAGAGGACATAAAATTAGTGATTATTTTGAGGTAAGCATCTTTACATTGAGAAATCTGCTTGAAATCACAGTAGGCAAAATCTGTAGATGGAAGTCTGTAATGTGACTTCTGTTACTGATTCATCATTGAAGTCACTGATTGATGATGTTAACCTGATATGCTCAAATCTGATTAGGTAGAGGATATGAGATTTTGGAAGTTGGTTTTTAAATTAACATTTCCTTGAACAGTTGATAAAGCATTTTTTAAAAGAGCAGCCACATAAGTACAGGTTCGAGGTTGAACCTGGATCTCAGATGAGGATATCTCTGAGTATGCAAACCTATTTTGATACAGGTCCAGTGCTGCCAAAGAAGCTACCTGCAAAGTCCCACTGATTTGAGTAGGAAGTTGTTTACAGTGTTCCCTCTTTAGAAAAGCTTGCCATGGGAGGCTGGCACCGCACAGGAGACGGAGACTTCTCCCCACAACAGTGATGAACATTCTAAAAGTCAATATTATTTTTTTTTTATTGCATAGTTTCTGAAGTTTTCTAGGTCTGCACAATAAGGAGCTCTAGCTTTTCTCTTAAGTTTGTTCTTTATTTTACTGAGTAACTTGGAGTCAGAAATTAAGTGCTTATTAGTGCTTACTTCTTTCCTGGCTAAAGTTTTTTGTAAGTGTGGTGCACTGTGTGGTGCAGGAACATACGAATTTCTGTACCGACTAGACCAGTAGCCCAGCTGCTTACGTATCCTGTCTTTAACAGTGACTGCACAGATGCTTCAGTGAAAGTGTACATTTCTTACACTTCTGTGGAGCACAGTTAGACATGTCTCCTCACAGGGAATGGGCTTCCTAACTTTATACAGTAAATAAATGATCTATATCCAAGTGTGCAGGTTTATATCTTTTTGTGTTAAAAAGAAAAACGTACTCGGTGCAAATGTGAATGTTTGTCTGAAGTTCTTACTTTTGCTGTTCTTTTTGAAAACAGTGCATGAAATTTTAAGGTTTTCCTCTTTGTTTATACTCAGTTTGTTTAAATGAGTCCCTAGAGCCTACACGGCTTCATTTTTGAGATTAATGTGTTTCTTCTGTGTTTGTTAAATTTGCTTAAATATAGTATCTCTGTGGAATTAGTGATGATCAAATCTGTTGCTTTGGCCAGTTTGCTGGGGGAAGTGGCCCAGGAACCAGTCCCGGTAGAAGCGTGCCGCCTGTCGCCAGATCATCACCACAACATTCCTTATCCAACCCCTTGCCGGTAAGCATTCTCCCTTGGGACAGAGCTGGTGGCATGGCGTTGATTAGGTTGGTGGCTGTGCTTCAGACAGGTAATAAAAGGCTCTGAACAGGAAATAAGGGTGTTTTGGTGAGTGATTTGCCTTATTCTCTATTCAGTTGGGTTTTTTGTTTTGTTTTGGGTTTTTTGTTTCTTTTTTGTTTTTTTAATCTGAAACGGGGTTCTGGCAGCAAAGCCAGTTGTCTAGGCCCCTGTAACAGTGGCTAGTCCAGTTGTAACTGATATGAATATCTGAGCTCAAAGTGTGCAAGATGAATGTTTTTAGCATGCTGTGTGGTTACAGGTAGATCACTGTCCTGAATAAAAGGTGGAACTGACATATTAGTTATCTTGTATTCCGTTGCAGCTCGTGAACTTCTCCATAGAGTTGGGAGTATGTTGTATGTTTGTATAGCACTAGTACAATGATATTCCAATCTTGATTGGACCCTTTGGGTATACTGGAAAACATGCATGCCATAATGATATTGGGAAGGTCTTTTACTTCTGTTAACATGCATGTGACTTGTAAGGAGCGTTAGCAAAAACTTGCAAAGAAATGTGTATATATGCATATCTGTTGCTATTTTTTTGTTACATAATTCTATTTTGCTGTGGCAGCATTTCTGCGAGATCTGAATGTGAAGAAATAACCAGTATTTTTAAGCCATTTTAGCACAGAGCAGCTAAAGAAATTTCTTTCAACTAGCAAAGCAATATTCAGAGGTTCTGGTGTCTGATCTCTAGTTTTAACATTGCCTAGGCCCCTCTTTAAAAATCTTAAGCATTTTTTGAGTGTCACAAAAGTACAGAGCATTGTGGGAAAAGTTAGTATTCCGAAAACCAAATGCAAAGTCTTTATTCTGCAGAGACCTTTGCACAGTTCATGAATGTGTACTGAACTAAATCGCAACACTGAATGCTCTGCTCAGAATTCAATATATGTGGCTAGATTTGGGAAGCTTTGTAATGCTGCTTTAAGGGAGAGCTTCAGATAATGCTTCTAGATATTTTTAATGTCTATAAAAATTAAAATATATCTTGTTAATTGAATGTCCCTTCATCTTATCTTATATTAATTTACTAATACACCTCTTTAAAGAGAAGTTAATGAGAGAAATACCATCTCTGAATGTTGCAGATGTGTGATGTATTAGGTACAGTTCTTTATTCCAGCAGATGAGATACCCAGCAGGTGTTTATAATGGGACAAGTTGATTCTTCCTTTGGTTTTCTTCTATGCTTGTATGTATTGAGTAGGTAAAAGTTTGAACGGAGTATTTCTCATGTGGTGAAGAGTGATGTTACAGTTAGTTTCAGCTAGGCCAGTTTGTCTGTCTCCTTACGCAGGTGCTCTTTTGTGTTTCTTATCTTCTGTTCTTTACTCTTGCGGCTAAACCTGTAATGTTAGCTTATTCATAACAAATTATTGTGTGTGTTTGCAAGATCGGTCCTCTTCTTGCAAACTGAATATCAATAGTTTGAGCTAAGCCCAAAAAATGGGGGGATGAGTGAAAATTGGAGAAGATGGAGTATCTTACCCATTACAGATGTCAGTATGGTCTAGGAAGAGAGCACAGTGTTAAAATGTCTTTCACAATGAGACAAACCTCCGAGTTAATCTATACTGTACTGGAAATTTTCTGCAATCAGAACTTGTGGAGAAGTTGTAATGGCTTCAGGATGTTACTTCTTGTCTTCAAATCTCTTGACTGCTTTGAATTGCCTTGCTTCTCCTTTGATCAGAAGAATGATCTGCAGGTCTTCAGACTCTTGCAAGGTCGCTCTCACGTACAAGCATTCTTTTGGGGAAGAAAGCACACTCTTGACATTTGTAATGTTAGCCAGAAAATATGCTTCAGGTTACAATTCAGGTTTTTAAGAAAAACTGAAGCCTGATCTGACTCTTTACTTTCTATGTGGTGTATGCCTGGCCCAGAGTTACAGCTTGGAAGGACTTAGATGATTATTACCCAGACTGCCAAGTTTTAGCAGTGATGGGCTGGCTTTTAAAGTGAGGGCAATGAGATTCTGAGTGCTGTAATCAGTGTAGCTCAGATGATTCTTATTCTTATTGAACCCAATTCCTGTATCACAGTTGGAAAATGAGTCTACTGCAGGAGAAAGGAGCTGGCCTTTAAGAGATGCAATGCATCTCTTTAAGATTTTGGAATTGCATTAGTACTTTGCTTATCTTGCCGGAGATTGGTCCCAGCTATAATGACAGAAATGAGGTTACTGTGAAGTCTGGGTCCTAGACATGGTTAGGTTGCTGACATTTAGCAGTTCCGACTCAGTTTACTTCACCAGAATAACGAATGTATAATGACATTGGCTGTTTTAAAATGGGTCCTTAAAAAACATCAAGTAGTATAATTTTGAATGCATTGACCAAAGTCACAATGCACGAAGATTTTTTTGCATCTACAACCTATTTTGCCCCACTGGCTCTGAAACACATGTGTTTCCAAAGGAAGGGTGTGTGTTTACCGATAAGGAATTCTGTCCTGTGTGTTCATTTGTTACTTTTTTTTTTTTTCTAATTGTCAACTGCATCTACTTTTTGATGTCTGCATTGGAACAATCACTCCAGGAGTCCTCTTTGAGTTACCAGATCCTCAACATGCTGCCTGCCCATTCCTGAGCTGCTGCTTCGCTGACAACAGTTTTGGCAGAGTCAGAGAATTTCATTGTATTTTTTTTGACTGTGTTACAGCGGCGAGTGGAGCAGCCGCTGTATGGGGTAGACGGCAGCACAGCAAAGGAACCGCAGGAGGAACACTCTGCTCTGCCAACGCTGATGTCGGTGATGCTGGCGAAACAGCGGCTAGAGAATGAGCAGCTGGCACAGAGGGGAGGTGGCCTCTGTTTTACTTTTGTCTCGGTGAGCAGCTCTGAAAAGATTTGAATCCCAAGGGATGTTTCTAGTTAAGGGATGGGGAATTTGAAGCTTTTCTGCTCAAAGACAGTCGTTCAAGTGCAGCCTGGTTTATTGATGACCAAGTCTACCATCTTCTGGTAAGTTCATCTTCCTTGTGAAGAGTTCTAGGTCCCAGGCTTTGCTTGTTTAATAAAATGACATGAGTTTTAAGTTAATGACTTACGTAGATCAGAATAATAGCATCTGAGAGGCTAATCTGATAGATGCAAAAAAGCAAGAGAATGAAGTATAGTCTTGCTGTGAGAAGTGTTTGTTTTGGCCTTGCTTAATCTCAACTGACATGAATTTATATTAGGCTTTTAAAAGCTTTGTGTTTTTAGCAGGTTGGGCCAGGCTTCTTGAAATAAACTGACTCGCTTGTTTTAATGAACTAAATCTTTAGAGCATTCTTAAACCTTAACATGAAAGTATGGTACCCAGGCCAGGCTGCATCTCCCATGTAAAGATAAGTGTATCTGCATGGGCACTAGTGATCATGCTGAGGAGCATATAACAATACACTAACTTTCTTTTGCAGGCCCAGCAAGGCAGCCCATCTTCTACCGGATCAGGGAACACTGAGCATTCCCTGCACTTCCGAAAAACAGATTTCCATCCAGCACAAACAGTCACAGGTATAGCTCACTAGATGATATATCTCTTGGATATGAGATTGAAGCTTGATGCAGCTTGTCTTCCACACCAAAGGATGCCACTTGTAGTAGACATGTTTCCAGTGAAAAGAGCCAGAAGTCCCAACTCAGTTTGTAACTATTGATTGAAGTGAATCACTTTGTTCCTTATCCTGTAAAGGATGCTTTTCAGTTGCTGCTACTGGAGATTGCCTTATCTGTTACTGAGGTTTTTCTGTGTCAGTACTGTGGGCAGTTCTTCAGCTGTGTACAAATGTGCTCAGGAGATGAACACCTTTGCTCTGTCTGTTTCAGTTCTGTTGTATCCTGAATGTTCTTCCTTTCTTTGTAAGTGAAGACGTGAAGGAAACCTGAGCAATAGTTATGAATGCCCTCTATTCAGGCGCTGGGTCATGGGTGTGTCCACACTGCTTACAGTACAAATATCCACAGTCTAGCTGGAAGTTCTTTGGCCTCTGCAGAGTGCACCCATGGCATAGTTTGTCCTGTCAAGGTGGAATGTGATGTGTTCCTGACAGTGCTTCTCAGCAACTTCACTGTCTTGGAGTCAACAAGAGGAATAGCTCTTCTGACTGCACTGCTGTCTTTTTGGTGCCTTTTAAATTGTTAAGATTCTTCTTGTGGCTTTATGGCAAGATTTACTTTCAGCTGTGTCATCTTCCTCTGTTGCTTATAGGGATGTTCAGCTTTATCTGCAATGCACCTTGCTTATTTTTTCTCCAGGCCTGCTTTTAATCTTCTTTGATTTTCATCACTGATTTCTCTGTGACTGACCCTTCCCTTGAGTGATTTTGAAACAATCAGTTTTGTGTCAATCATTTTCTCACATCAGTCTGTGTCAGAGATGATTTTATTGCTGAGGGAAGTTCATTCTCCATTTCCCCAGCATGTGGTACAAGTTCTTTGTGCATGAAGAACAGCAGTTCTGCCTCTGGGGATACTTAACTAGCTTAAGTCTCTGAGCTCTGTTGTGTCACTAGGGTCACATTTGTTGTCTGTATTGTTAAAATGCTGGTCTGTGAAGATACCGGTTTCTTGCTAGTGCATGGAGAATTCTTCTACGAGAGTGATGCCATAACTTGAGAACCTGCCAGAGATAACTTTCAGATTTCAATCTTTGCTGTCCCAACACCAATGCTTAAAATAGCAGTCCCTCCTGGAGTGAGCAAGGTGTTTTTATTCTCTCCTGCGCTTAACATGCCTGCAGGGTCCATCTTCCTTGAAAAGGGTGACATGTTATCTGAGCGTGCTTTCTGCCAATGTTCAGCTTCATGGTATTCTCCAGAGGTCTACATGTAGCATACGCTTAAGGCAAAGAATCCAGGAAGATGCTTGACTGCATGATGAGGACATGTATACATTCTTGTTTTTCCTTCCAGACCTGTTTGGAGTTGATAGGGTTAAAAAAAAAAAAAAAGCCTGTTCAGTGACTTCCAGTTTGAGTCATTTCTGGCAATGACAAAAGGAAGTCAGCATGAGCATGATTTTCTTAGCATTTTCAGTCAGTGCTGGGGCCCTCCAAGTGTTTTGAGGCAAGGTTAGTTGTGATGAAGTCACATGTAAGAGCATGCATCCTGAAGCATGACTTCATCTGACACAGTGCAAGTATGTCTGTGCATTTGGCAAATGACATAAGTCACTTACTAAAGAAACTTTCTGCTGCTTCGCTGAGTGGATGCAGCCTAGGTTTTCAACAGACAGCCTTCTCATTGCCTTCAGTGACAAAAACTTTAGTCGCACAAGCTTCCTGCAGGCTGTCAGGAAGTATAAACCAAGTTAAGGCAGAAGTGCGGTGATCTGCCCAGGCCTTCTCTTTGTCTTTTGGGATTTAGGCTCATCTTGCTTGATGTGCAATGCTGGCAGGTGTTCTTTTTGATCTATCCTATGCTGGGCATATGTAGAGAAGCAACAGTTTGCCAAGTTTGTCTGTTACTTCATGGTGTTAGCTTCCAGGCAAGCCTGAAATTTGGAGAACAGTTATATAACAACTCCACAGGTAAGTCTCTGCTAACTCTTCTCAGAACCAGGATAGTTGCTTGCTAGCCATAAATGTGAAATCTGTTTATGCAGTCATGGAGCATGTGTTGACGTGGGTTATTTTTACATGTTGTATTCATGTACATACTGACTTCTTCCCCTTTTCTTCCCCACCCACTAATCAGAGTACTGAGTCTGAAATATGCCATGTTCTCTAGCAATAAGAATGTCTTTTGTCTTCTGTTCCTGGGTATAACTCTCACTTCATTGCTGAAGGTATTTGAGATAGGTTGTAACCCATAAAACTTTCCAAATAGGTTTCACTCAAGAACTGTAAAGCACCTGTCCCTAGTGGGCACTAATACATCAGTTTGTCAGAAACAAAGACTTGTGCCTAATAGTCTTGCTGTCAGTCTGTTATAATATTTTAAAATTAAGACCTGTGTTTTCTGTCAAGGCCACTTTAGAACCCACAGGTATTGTCTTTTGTCTAGCAGGTGGTTGTCTGTGCCTGTAAATGATCTCATAAATTTGATATTCCAGCTGACGGTTTGGGATTTGGTGTTTTTTTTTTCTTAAGCCCTTTTCCTGTACAAGCTATGTTGCACTGCAGGAAAGGACAGTGAATGTCAGAGACCAACAAGGAGTGGGCAGAACTCAACTATAAAAACAAAACTGGTAGGACACGGCGGTAGCCTGTATGTGTTACCAGTTTGTGTTCTCCAGTGCAGCTTTGTGCTAGCTGACTGAACCTCCTATGCTGGAGCAGCCCACCATGTAATAAGAAAATGAAGAATGGAGAAAGTTTCTTCCCCACACTGCTAGGATGCAGGGGATCAGTTCCTTCTTCTTAGACCTAACTGTTCAGATCAGAGAAGGTTACACTGTGATGTTACGTGCTGACTATCTGAAATATGTGTTTTTCGTAAATGTGGTTTATGGTGATTTTTCCCTACAGTCTGACCTCACAATGGAAAAAATATCTGCACTAGAAAACAGTAAGAACTCTGACTTGGAGAAGAAGGAGGGGAGGATAGATGACTTACTAAGAGTAAGTATTTAAAGTGGGACAACTCTTCTAAAAGTTACTATTTAAAGACACCTAGAATGCATGTGCCAGCTAGGCTGCAGAGCAGGATTTTGTACACCATTTGTAGAACCAGCACGCACAGTGTAAAACAAATCCATTCATCCCTTACTTGCAAGATAATTGTCGAGCTTGTAGATACTTTGTTTGGGCCTGCTTGAATCCACAAGCAGCGTAGCAGTGACTGTAAGGTGCAGAGTTATTGTAGCTAAGCACTAGCTCAGGTGTTTGTGTCCTCAGCAGTGTTGTTGGCCTTTCTTTGATCTGTTGCACAGTTCTTTTGTATTTTGCTACCTAACCTAACATGTTTCTTTTCAGAATTATTCCCCTCTTCTAAGTACTGAGGAACTGACTCCATGTTTTGTTTAGCAGCATGTTCAGTAGCCTTTCAGTAGGCTGGGAAGTTGTATTCTGAAATGCTCATTCATGAGAGTCAGTAATATATAGAGATGGGAAGAACATTTTTTGTTCTTGTTTCTGCTGCTTCACTGAGTGGATGCAGCCTAGGTTTTCAACAGACAGCCTTCTCATTGCCTTCAGTGACAAAAACTTTTGTCTCACATGCTTCCTGCAGGCTGTCAGGAAGTATAAAAAGAGTAAAGCTTCTCTTAATCCATTAGTATTCTTCAGTTAAAGATAAATATAAATAAAATAAAGACTAGAATAATAATAATAAATAAAATAATAATAATAATAAATAATAAAATAAATAAAAAAATAAATACCTTTAAATCAAGGATCTTGTCTTAATGGAGGAGTTGTAATTGATTAGCTTTCATCAGCTGGAGAGGCATCTTTTGTGAAGTGTTGAAAAGGATTAGAAAAAACATTAAAGGGAGAAGAGGGAAGGCTCCCTGTGTTTGTGTGTGTCTGGTCTCAGCACCTAAAAGGGCTAAGACAAGCTCATAGAGACATACACAGAGGCACATGTGGGTTTGTGGAAAATAGTCCCTGAAGCAGGAAATAGATTTTTTTTTTTTTTTTTTTTTTTTTTAAAAACCATCCTTTTTTTAATCAGAAGCCAGACTGTTGGTTGGAACTTTTTATCAATGAAAATGGTTACACATAAAATCCTGCTGTATGCTGTGGTGGTGTTAAAAACAGCTGTTACTGGGAGCAGTCTATTTAGTGCGGCTGATGGATAGTAACTTGAACAAGAATTTAATTGAAAGTGCAAAGGGAGTTACCCCATCCTTTTCCTCTGCCAGTATTGTGGCTAAAGAGCAAGGATAGTCCCGGGATGACTAAGCTATTTTGAGACTTGGTAGCTGTGGCAAGGTCTTAAATATTTAAAAAAATAAAAATTAAAAAATTCCTTGTGCTTGTATTTAGTCTCTTTGTACCTTAGTTCCTTATATGTAAACCAGGATGATAGCACTTCCCTGTTCTAGAGGTGTATTAAGATTTGAGTGGGTTAAAAATTGAAGAGCTTGGCTTGGATGTTTTGATAAGAGGAACCTAGTCTTTTTTTCTTATCCTGCTGTTTGCTTATTTTAGTCTGATGCCTAGAGCTAGCTGGAGAAACTTCTTCCTAGGTAATGCTTAGTTTGGCTCTGTGAGTGGTTTAAAGTCAAAAGCTTTTCTTCTCTGTTCACTTGTAGGCCAACTGCGATTTGAGACGGCAGATAGATGAACAGCAAAAGATGCTGGAGAAGTACAAGGAGCGGTTGAATAGATGTGTAACGATGAGCAAGAAGCTTCTTATAGAAAAGGTGAGCAGGGGACTTTCCACATCTCTACAGTCACAGTTCATGTCCTTGAAAACTTCTTTGTCTTCTTTTGAGCAGTGAAAACCTGCTCGTATTGCTATAGTGATAAGACAACTGGAATTCTGTCTTGAATTATTTCTCTGCAAATAGAAATGTAATCCTAAGACTGAAATGGTTCAGAATGTTTTGATTTGGTTACTTTTCACAGTTTCAAAGAGTGATCTCCCTTACTTAAGTGAAATAGTCTGACCCCTAAATGCAGCAGGCATTACTTGATTTGGAAACTCGTACACCTGAAAACCAACATTGTCCAGCTCTGGCAATACAAGAGCAGTATCCCATTGTTCAGTGAAATTGCCAGATATGCTCTGTGATATGGGCAAGTGATTTAGACCTTTCCTTCTTTCAAATGGCAAAGTTGGAGGTCGTTGCTTTGTATAACACTCAAAACAATGCATTAAAGACACTGGGGAAAGTGCCAGGCTGCTGTTTACCAGCATCCAGCCTGCTTCAGTGTTAAAAGATTTCCAGATTTCCTGATGGTTAAACAGTGCGGAGGTTTGATTGCTCTTTCACCTATTAGCCAATTACATCTATTGTTTGTGGGCACTGGATGGGCAGAACATGCAGTCTATTTGAGGTGATTTTGTCACAGAGCTGATTGTTCTTGGCTGAATGGGCCTCCCCTTTCTGGGAGGATTTGTAACTCTGGGCTAGGTGTTATGTAGTCCCAGCATTCAGATATGTGGTATATAGCTCCAGTGAGGAGCTTCGCTGGTTCACCTTTAATCCTAACTGACTGAAACTTTGCTGGTCTCATCTCAGGCCTTGGAAATTTCCTCTCACTTACCAGGCACGCTCTGTGACAGACACCACCACCAGTTTTTATGCATGTTGGTGACCTGAGATTGTGTCACTTCTGGGAGTGGTGCGAGTCTAGCATTGAGCTGGCTGATCACTGTATCTTAGTCTTAACAGTGAGTCAAGGTGTATTTTATTCATCTCCTGTTTGAGTGAATAAGGGCCTGATCAGAGCCGTGTCTGGAGTCTAGCTAAGTTACTGATACAAAAGGGTAGTTTTAATCCTACTGCTAGACTGATTTCAGCTGAAGATAGAATGGGTGAGCTGCCCAAGCAGTAATGGGGAATGAAAGGTGAGACTGAAATGTCAGAAAGGAGGCAGGCAAACAAATGCCTGTCAGACCAGTGTGAAGCACCACCAATAATTTGGTCAATGATTTTCAGCTGGATTTCAGATGAACAGTACTGAAACAATGAAAAGCAGTAAATTGGTAGTGATTTAAAGCACAGCATAGCTCTTAGCTGCTGATTTATGGCTTATATTTTAACATGTGTTTTGTTTTCAGTCAAAACAGGAGAAGATGGCATGCAGAGATAAGAGCATGCAGGATCGATTGAGGCTAGGTCACTTCACTACGGTGCGGCACGGGGCGTCTTTCACCGAGCAGTGGACAGATGGCTATGCCTTCCAGAACCTCATCAAGTGAGGACAAGCAGAGTTGTCTTTAACTTCAGTGGCAGAGACAGAAAAACTAAGCAGCTGTGTGTGATGTCTTGCATGTCAAAATGTGAGAATGGTGTGACTGATGCATGAAAGGATCAGATAGAAACTCAGCTACTGACAATGGGGAACGTTTTCGCATTGAAATGAGAAATATGTTTGTGCTTAAACCTCCAGAGACTTGAAACTGGAATCAAATTGTTTGAGTTGACCTCTGGGTTGGAAAGCAGTAGGCTGCCTTGTTGGGTATTCTCAGTGCACCTACCTGGCTGTGCAGTGCTTAGGGTGGAGAGGTGGACCAAATTCCCACATGTATCTTGAGTCAATCAATTTGATTTGCATAGTTGCATGTATTAGTCAAGGAAGGCTAATTAGCTCCTTTTCTTTTTTAAAGTAGAAAGTAGAGAAGCTTAAAAGAGAAAATCCATACTATTTAACTTTTTTTGCCTCCTGGTAACAGTGATCAAAGGGGCTGCAGAAACCTGGAAATGAAGATCAGAGACCCTTTTATGCAGGATGTTAATGGAAATATCCAATAAATTCCCACCTGGCCTAAACCTTTAAGTAGGACTTGGCAAATTAATTGCATTAGAGAGAGCTATGTGTGATCCTTTAAAATCATATCGCTTCTCTGTAGTCTGATAGGGAGGTGCAGCTCTTGTTAGGCACGGATTAAGGACTTTATAATTCCTCCTCAGTTTGTGCTGTAAGGCATGGAAGAAATACTTCTGGAATATTTAACTGCAGTCTCGGTCTCTTTTAAAAAGTGAATTAAGTATGTAAATGTTCAAGTCATTTAGACTTGAAATTTCAAGAGTGCTTTTATTACTGTAAAATGTTTTAAGATAGTGTTTTTATCTTGGAGGAGGGACTGGTTTTTTTAGTGAAATTAGGAACGGTGTTTGTTATATTTTGGAGAACTAAGGATAGTTAAACTGTACCCTTGAAGTATAAGGGTACTTTTTCAGACAGTGCCAGACTTCAGGAATAGTTTTAACAGGAAAGTCTGAGATTTAGAACAGAGCCTTCTAGGAAAAAGCGTGTGGAAAGTTAGTGACTTACCAATGGGTCCCTGGGTTTTCTGTGAGGTTAGCAACTCCTTGTTTTTGGATATCCTCTGCATGAATAAAACCTTTCACTTACTGAAAGGTTCCTATGGGCCAGGAAAAGAATCCCCTTTTATGTAAAAATACCTTTAAAAAATCTGAGTTGTAATGTTTGGCGCATCCTCCTTTTCTGTACAAAAATATTTTGTTACTAATCTTAAAAGTACAACTGATTTGAAATTCGTTGCTCCGATCTGTTAAGAGCAGATGCTGAAGACAACCGAGTACATTCCAGTAGTTATCTGCTTCATGTTTTTTCTACTCTCTTCTTCCCAGGCAACAGGAAAGGATAAATTCCCAGCGGGAAGAAATAGAAAGACAAAGAAAAATGTTAGCAAAACGGAAGCCACCTGCAATGGGACAGACCCCTCCAGCAAGCAATGAGCAGAAGCAGCGCAAGAACAAGACCAATGGAGCAGAAAATGAAACGTAGGTTATGTGGCCTTCTTGGTGCATTGCACAGCTGCATGCTTTGATTAAAGCACAAAATATCTACTGGGAAATGGAATCTTGCCCTTGCCTCTAGGCTTTGCTCCATGCACAAATGAATATTGTGGAATTAGCCTGGCATTCAGCAACATCTGGCTGCAGTTCTAAATAGTTTTCATTGGAGTAAAACAAGGATCATTGCCGAGTCCAGACTTTGTATGAACTTAACTTTTTTTGAATGCAGTAACTTTTTCAGTATTTCTGTTGCATCAAGTTTGAAAAGTGGTGTCTTTAAGTGTTGCAACTTCAGAATTGATTTTGGTATCGCTGTATGATACATGGTGCTTTTTTTTTTTTTTTTAAGGAAGAAAAAAATTGTGCATATTTAGAAGCCTTTATTTCCATGTACTTTCTGGTGAGGCTTTTCAAACAATTAATTTGGTATACTGAAGAAAAAAGATGCTCTCTTTAAAGAGTGCATTAAGCATTGACGTGTATCTCCGAAGCAGTCCTTTGCAGATACCCAAGTCAGGGAATGGAAAGGTGATTGAAGTGCTACTCTTTCTTCTTACAGATTTCTCTCTATATTCTCCCCCCCCCCCCCCCCCCCTTTTGAAGTTACTGATGCTGTAAGAGTCCTGATATTCTTAGAGAGGAAAGCTGCGTCTCACAAGAAATTTGAGACGTTATTTTTTGGGAAGTTTTTGTGAGTTGGAAATACGTTAAGTCAGAGACTTTCTGCTACCTTCTACCAGTTTTCTTTACAATCTTCATTTTATTCCTGTTGACTAATACCGTAACTCTGTGACACTTTTCTTTTTGCACTATTAAATCTCCTGGGCATGACTTGACCTCAAAGTTCCTGGAGCCCTTTGAATTCTTGGTCTTGATCTTGCGCATGTGAAGCAAAAGCTCCCACTGCCTTTTGCAGTCACAGCAGAGGTGGCACATGACTGGGTGAATTGTGGTATTTAGGGTGCTCTCAGCAACCAGGGCAGAGCCCCCAAATAGGATGCTGGTGCCTGCTGATCTGGTGTATTGTATTGGAGGGCACTGTGTGCTTTCTGCAAATAAGTAGCTTGAATAGAGACATTTACCCCTTGTTCTGGCCAAGTGAACTTAAAATCTATTAACTAAAAGTTTTAAAGACCTCCTTTTGCATTGCAGCATTTGAGTTTGGAGAAGTAAATTGAATGTCTGTGCATGGATATTTTGAAGCCTTTCTGTTCATTGCTTTCACTTCTAAGGGACAAGATGACGCTTTCACTGTTTCTGTAGGGATGTTTTTCCCCAGCAGACTGGCGCAGCTGTAGCGTGGCTTGTTCTGCAGACGTGGCAGCACAGGTCTTGATGTGCCTGGAAATCATGATAATGTCTGGGATACCTAGTGAGCGTCTGCTTCTGTTGTGAGCGTGCCTTGACATAATCTAGCTTTTATTGGGTTTGCTAGTAAGCCTTTTTGTGCTACCAGGTCTTTTTCTCTGTGTTTCTTGCTGGTTTATCATTCTTTGCTGATATATTTCAGGGTTTTATCTTTGTGGTTTAGAAGAGCTTCTTGTGGTGTTCTTGATAACAACTGCTTGCCAGTGTATGGATGTGGTTCATGTGGAGTGTTTTTAGCTTATGAAAACATTGTTTTTGCAAGTCAGCTGAAGCAACTGTACTGACTGACTACTTGTTTAATCATTAGTCATCCTGTAAATGCATTTGTTGGACCGATGTGCATCAGGTAGGAAATTTTCTGATTTTTGGAGGGAGGTTTTTTTTCTTGTGGAATTCTTACAGAGGCTGTCTTTTAGGCAAGTTGAATATAAAAGTTTCTGAAAGTTGAATAAGAAGCGGACAGCCAAATTCCTTCATTTGAGTTTTGGTCCCTCTTTGGTTCTTCGTTGTTGCTGTGTCTTAAAAAGGAAAGGAAGGTCCCATGATGCAAATTTAAACGTGTGCTCTCCTGAAACTAGTTTCTAGCCTGTGAATAAGAAAAAGATTTTCATTCAGAAAGGCTAATCTGCTGGGGCTTTTTGAGGTTTGTTAGGGCAGCTTGGGCAACCTTAGAGTCTTCAGCTGCACTAGAAGTACTGTATTTCAAGCATGTTTCTGTGAAACAGGGCAGTGTTTGTCTTAGAGTCTCCTTGATTTTTGTAATGCTTGCTGCTAACAGGCAGCAATTTTGGGTAATGTTAGCCTGGTGGTACTCATTACATCTGTTGCTTAATGAATAGACTGTTGGTGTTTAGCCCTGTATTTCATTTGTGCACAAGAATATGTGGAAAGCTTGTTGCTGGTTTGTTCAGTTGTCTTTTTATTCCTTATACAGCAACACCAACCGAAGACCTAAACTTTTAGGGCAGTCTTTTAGATTAGCTGAATCTGATTAAAATTCAGGCTGTTGGGGGGAGGGTGGGAGGTGTGTGAATTGGCATCCTTTCATATGAAATGAGACAACATGTAAGCATTTATGGTACTGGCTGTGTTTTGTATGTATCTTTTAATTTGTAATAAGCAGTTCCTTATGGTCGAGATTCTTTCAAAGGGAACTTGACTTGTGAGTTTTGCATTGAATTTATCAGCTAACAACTGCTTTAGCACTTATTTCAACTATGTGGACCCTCTGCATTATCAACAGTGGAGAGAAGCTGGGGCATTTCAAGATGAGCACTTAGTCAGCTGAATACTACCTCCTCTCAATTTACTGTACAGCGAGGCAAGATCCCACGGCCCTGCACAGACATAGGACTCGGTCCCCTCTTGAAACTAGTTGTGGTATTGATGCTGTGGAGACCTCATACACTAACCTTTGTACTAAGTACTATGCAGAGCATAACTGCTGCAACAGGAATCCTGGGATACGCTTTGAACTCAATTTAGGTTCAAAAAAGATATTTATATGCTGTCAGGTGTGTATCTTGTTTACAAAGTAAACAGATGCAGTTGATAGGGGCTTCATAACTTTATGTTCCTATGTGTGATACTTTTACCAAGCTCCTTGTTGGTAGTAGTGAGAAAATTAATATAATGATTCATTTTTCTAACCTTAAAGATCTCAGCACATTGCTGCATTTCACAAGTGATGGGATCTGTCATTATTTTAGTGTAAGGTTGTGATTTGCCTCTCTCCTACATGGCACATGTTGGCTATAAAAGACATTGAAAACACTATAAAACTTTTTTTGACCAGCCACCTGGGATAGAAACTTTGCACATCATTTACCATCAATAAAATGGAGATTATTCCCCTTATCCCATTGCTTCTCCTGACTACACATGAGGTCAAAGATATGGTAAGGTGAAGTAGATTTCCCAAGGTTTCCCTGGAAGCCACTTTGCAAAGCCTGAAACAGGAAGAAGTTCTGAATCCCAGGTCATTGCTGTTTGTAGTGGCTCTGTGGCCAGGTGTACTGCTAGTCCCAGAGTGAATAGCTGGGTTGAATTATCCAGCTTTTATTATAAAGAAAGTATTGAAAATGAGTCGGTAAAGTAAACTTTAAATGGAAAAATAAGATGTGGAGTATTTGTGCTTCAGTGTTCCATATTTAGATTATGGTTTAGCTTTCTTTGTTAAAAGTCAGTCACTAGCCTAAATAGGTGTTATTAGGGACTTGGATTTGAAATTAATATGTGCTTTATCAAGGTTTAAGCTTTTGGGTTCCTTTAGATTGATTACGGAAAAAAAAAAATAGATTGCAAAGTTTACATAAAAAAATTTCCTGCCAGCTGTTGCCATGCTCTGTGTAGTTGTCACTTCCACTAGAGATGTGTATTCTGCAGACTGCTCACTTTATCATATGTGTTGAAACCTAATGCATTGGACCTGTCTCTTCTGTGCAGGTTAACATTAGCAGAATACCACGAACAGGAAGAAATCTTCAAACTCCGACTAGGTCATCTTAAAAAGGTAAGAGTTAACTGCAGAAAAGGCTTTTAGGTAGGTTTTTGATTCAGTGTTCTATGAACAATAGCATGTCTCTGTAGAGGTCACCACCGTTTGTTTAATAATTGAGAGGTTTTTGTTGTGTGAAAGGGAGGATTTTGTAATAATTTTTTCCAAGGCAGTGGTATTCAGGAAAGATGTTCTTTGCTTCAATAAATACGTTTCTGTGTCCTTACAGTTACAATTTCTTGCACTATGACCTGCCTAGCATTGGGCTCTGTGCGTGTCTAATATGGGGGGACATAAAGGAATGGACCAAGGGAAGAAAATTATAAGAACACAACAAAAACTGCAACCATCATTGACTTTCCCATTTGTTTGCAATATCGAGTAACCAGCATTATCAGTAACAGCCTAATAAAGTCTCTTGGGCTTTTGGAAACTAGTAGTGTTTAGGTAGTTGCAATGTACATTTGTTTTCAAATACATTGGCTTCAGTAGGAACTGTACCTGCAAGTGAGGTTATAATTAGATAAGCTGTTGGTTACCTTTCAAGTGATTGCAATAACCTATAAATAAGGTTTCTGGGACACTTTGACAGATGAAGTACTGAAAAAACAAATAGATGTCTTCTATCATTTCCTGGTTAGCTGTAATCTCTGCTAAGGCCAAAGAGTTTTCTTTCCCATATGAAACAAAGAGGAAGCGTGCAAATGCATTGCTGGAGTCCCCTTTCTTTTCTCAGGTGGTGCCTGAGCTCTACACTTAGGTTTTCCTGTAACCTTGACACACAAGTTAAATGCAAGACCTCATTAATGCTACTGTACTCCTTGTTATTTTCAGTAGCAAGGGAAAGTTAATGCACACATGGAATCTGCTGGCACTCTGCCCATTGTGTTTTATTGACCTGTGAGCAAAGATGAGTGATATGGGCAGGAGTATGCTAAAGGCATGCTTGCTCTACAAGCTTCTGCATTGCTAGAGTGGATTAATTGCAGGTCCATCTGTGCTGGCATGTAGTGTGCTACCGTAGAACAGAGGAAGCCATTTGGAAATGGACCTTAATGGAAAATGAAGTAATGTTCTCGGATCGTGGCATTGTCTGAAGCTGTGCTTATCCTTCTCCACTTTTGGAAACTGGCTCATTCTTTGTGCCTAAAAATAGAACAAGTTGAGAAGGGAAGGAACAGAGTCACAAGACAAATGGGTAACTATGTCCCTTGAGTCATATATAGCAAATAATACTGCTCAAGGCACATGTTTTTGAGGTTTGCAACCCTGTCCACAGTAGTGTGAATTCTAGTGTTTGAGGGCACGAGAACTTCCAACTCTATAAACAGTATATCAGAACTTCCACATGGCACTAAGTTACACTCTGACCTGTTCTACCACTTACCACTAATAGGACCACATCTTGTTCTTTCACATTCTCCATCCTCTCCGGATGCTGCTCCATCCCCATGTGGCACACATGACATCCCTGTTCCTTACTTCTGAGGGCTGCCCTCTTGTCCCAGCAGAGGCTGAGTTCCTACAAAAATAGCTGCATAGCACTTAATCAGGGAAGGAGCAGGACCAGAGCTACAATGCTTCTTAATTACAGAAAATGTTAAAAACAAGAAGGCATAAAGATATGTCTGCTCCTGTTTATGCATAGGTGTAAACAAAACTGCCCAGTCAGTTTTCATTCCTGTCACCTTCCACCTGACTCTTAATTGACTGTGACCATCTCTCTAACCTCCCAAACAAGTTATTTACCAATAACTTCTTCCCAAGTGGAAGTACATTTGTGTTTCCATAAATCAGGCGGAAATGCTAACTGCACTATCTTACACAGTGTTGTGTTTTCCTTTTGTTTTTTCCTTGTGCAGGAAGAAGCGGAGATTCAGGCAGAGTTGGAACGGCTAGAGAGGGTTAGAAATCTACATATCAGGGAATTGAAAAGGATACACAATGAAGATAATTCACAGTAAGCACATGGGATTCAGGGACAAGAACATATAACAATTTTTTATTTGTCCCCTTCATAATGGGAAACAATCTTTTTTAAATTGGCATAGTGATATTACCTGAAGTTCATGTAAGACAAAGGCTTCCAAGTGCATCAAGGTAACATTATATAGACTTTCATCAGTGCAAAGTGATCAAATAGTATCAAATCTGTCAGTTGTTAACACAGTCTTAATGTTTTTCTGTCCTAATATAAAAATGTTGGTTTTAAGCTGTGGAGTAGCTGTAGTTTATTGTGCACTGGATTGCATTATTTCTGTCAGTGTTCTTAAACTGTATCTTTCTCGCCAGATTTAAAGACCACCCAACGCTAAACGATAGATATTTGTTGCTACATCTTCTGGGTAGAGGCGGCTTCAGTGAAGTATATAAGGTAAATTTGAAGTGGCAATCTGTGGTGTAATCTGAATCTGCAACGAAATATTGCAGGAAGCAGAATTTTTACACTTGTTTTCTCAGTGGTGTGTGTGGTTGTGGAGGGAAGAAGGGAGGACAAAGCATTTGTTGCATCTGGCTTGCATTAGACAGAAAGCTTGAGATTTTTACGTTCTGCCCTTGTCCTCAGAGGTCAGATTTCCTGCAAACGTGTGTTTCAAAAAAATGTTGCACCAAGTCTGCAAGTTTTGTCAGGACAGAGAAGCAAACCACTTGTTTCTTCAAGTGCTACACACAAATATCTTAAGTAGTGAAGTTTTATTGAGTATGGCATAGCAAGTCTGAACGTCGCTAAATAAGAGAAAATAGCTCCAATAATAAGAACAAAGCCTTTATTTCCTCAGGGTAGAAGGCTTTTTTCTTGTGTCTTCATTTTACGCTCTGAAATAGCAGACTCCGTGTGTGTGTGCGCGTGCGTGCGCGCAGTCTTGGGACTTCCTTGGAACTGAGAATTACTTGTGTGTCAGCACTCTTGCATTGCCAAGACCTGTGATACTTTGGTGCTTGCTATTTGACTATTATGCTTAGAGCTTTTTCAGTTCTAAATATTCCCTATCTGTACCCAGTAGTTGTTAATTCATGTTAAATTTGACTAGAATGAAAATAACTATGCCAATGCAAATATTGGAAACTTCACAGTGATTTATTATTTTGATGCAGTACAACAATAGATATCTAAACCAGGGGGGCTAGACTGTTCAGGTAATGAAAAAAGAGTGTGATCTGCATGTAAGTACTCTGAATTTCTCTTTGGTGGCTTTGCTGACTAAGTAGAAAGCCTTGGCTCCGCAGATGAAAGCAAGAGGGTATGAATGCTTCCTACCTGACTGTGCTTAAGAGTTGTAAATATGTTATTAAAACAAAGAAATGCTTAGCCCTTTTTCTCCAGGGTCTTGGACGATCTATTAAGCGTTAGAAGTTAAGTATACAACTTTTGAGATGGACACAATTTATCCTTGTCTGCTTACAGTAAGATTTTGCCTCATCCTATAAATTATTAGCTGTTGCTGCTCTCAGACAAGGGAAAAGATTTCTGCATTTCTCCAAGAGCACACAATTCCAATGGCCTGTTCTTTAAAGACTACCTAAATAGCAAGAAACTGGAGGGAAAAATACACCACAAGATTCACCACAGTTCTGCCATTGAATTATCCAGCTTCTAAATAAGCTGAAACATTTAGCTCCAAGATGGAGAGCTGAGCTACCAGCATGAAACAAAGTGTTAAAAATCCTCTGTATGTTTTGTTGGGGTTTTTTTGGGTTTTTGTTTTGTTTTTCTTTTTAACTGGGTGTAGAAAATGGATTAGGTGGCTTGGGGGAATAATGGTAGGGTTTTTCACAGTGTGATTAACTGACTATATTTTGGTAATTTGGCCTTTCTGATCCCATTGTAGCTCTGGTGGTAAAATGTCAGAATAAATGCGGCATTAGTTAGCTCCCATAAGGAAGGTCAGATCAAAGCACAGAATATTCAATTGTTTTCAGAGTTACTTGGTTTCATTAGTGAAACTAATTACATCAAAATGTGGGTTTGCTCTTCACTCAGTATGTTGTAATGCTGATTTCCTGGGTGGGGATATTGGTTTGTTAGAGCTTGTCTGCTTTGGCAGTATTAACTTGAAGTTGTGATTCCTACTGATTTTCAGCTCTTCTCTCTGCAGGCATTTGATTTAACAGAACAGAGATATGTAGCTGTGAAAATACACCAGTTAAATAAAAACTGGAGAGATGAGAAGAAAGAAAACTATCACAAGTAAGTAAGGCTGTCAAGCAGACAGCTATGTTTCCAAACTCCTCCTGTATTTGGTTATCCAGTGCTTGTGAACAGGCTGCCATTTTTTTCGTGTGTTTTGCTGCATTTCAAAAGCCACTCTCTGTCCCAGTAGCTACTTGCAAAAGTTATGGTCAGATTAGAAATGTTTTAAATGTGTGTGCACACACAGACACAGTTTTGTGTAAGCATTACAGCACAAGGTTTTAAAGCACCAGTGGTGCTCTATGAAGAAAGCATTAAAGTGGCTTCTCCTCTCTGAAATATCTAAGCTCTGCTCTTGTGGGAAACAGTTGTTCATGCCCATCTTCCAGGTACACACCTGCATTGTGTTCCCTGAAAGCCTTCCCCTTCCCTTTGTTTCCTAGAGTACTTAATCCTTTCACAGATGATTAGGACTATACTATGTCATTGCCTAGAAGGGACGTACAGGAAGCCTTTTGGTGTTGGTAACACTTGTTCCCTAATGCCATGGATTAGATAAGCTCTGTAGAATGGCAGCCAAGCCTTCTCGACAGAGCTTCAAAGATAAACCTGTGACCTTAATTCCCCAACAAGTCACTGGGACAAACTAAGCTGAATTTGAAGCCTGAAAGTTGGGCTGTTGAGCATCATGGAATTTTTCTAGAACTTGCTGACTTTTGTATTCAGCTGTTTTGGATCCCTTAATGATTTATTATGAGGTTATTCTATTTTGGCAAGAGTACCATTAATCAAGATGAGTTATTTTGTAGTATTGCCAGTGTTTGAGATGCACTCACATTCTGTGGTTCTCAAGAACTGTTCTGTGCAGTTCCTTGTTTGCTTGCCTTTTCTTAAGCTGTCTGAGTAACATGTATGGATTTGATTGAAGTTGGACTGCTGTGCGCTATGACTGGGTTCACTATCTGCAGAACTTAGAATTAAGTCACTTGTATGACTAATGCTCAGACTTTCCTATTTTCAGACATGCATGCAGAGAGTACAGAATTCACAAAGAACTGGATCATCCTCGAATAGTTAAGCTATATGACTACTTTTCGCTGGATACTGACTCGTAAGTTATGTTGCTGTGTCCTTTGACTTGGTTTTACCCATTCACTACAAAGCATCTGGTCTCTTAAAACTTTCCAGGAGAGTCCAGAGAATGCCCACACCAATGTTACAAACTGTACTGCAGAGATATCTGAGGCAGTTTCAACTTGTATTAGTTTTCTAGAGATGCTAGCTCACAAACCAGTATGCCGTATTGTAGTGCTTTACTAGTAAATCCTGCTCTTTGTTGGCCTGGGCAAATGCCCCAGCTGATCTAGCTTTCTGCTTCTCAATCTAGCACTTAATGGGGGATCTCTGACCTTTGTACTATTGAGCACTGAGGACTGCGCTCCTGGTAGCTTATTTCTAGAAAGGGATTAATAGGCTGGAGGACTCTTAATTTAATAAATTGACCAAATAGGTGAATCTTACAGGCAAGCAATAACAAAATGTTCTGGTTTCTATCAGGTGCCTTAATTACAACAACTGCTGTTTTGCCTTCAGGTTTTGTACAGTGTTAGAATACTGTGAGGGAAATGATCTGGACTTCTACCTGAAACAGCACAAGTTAATGTCGGAGAAAGAGGCGCGATCCATTATCATGCAGATTGTGAATGCTTTAAAATACTTAAATGAAATCAAACCTCCCATCATACACTATGACCTTAAACCAGGTATGCTGTGCTGCTAGCTGACGTGCTTAAGGATGCTAACTAAAGGTAATGGGTTATAAGTAACATGGGAAAGTTTAGTGTGGTCAGACATCAAAAAGGAGACAGGGCTGTCTGGGAAAACTAACTTGCAACAAGAAAAAAACTAAAATGCATAGAACATGCTGTGAAAAGGGTATTGTCTCCCAGAATGGCAACATAAAACAAGGAAGTAACATTCCAGAAAAAGTAGCCTCCTTGTTCAGAACGAGCCCTTGAACCACCAAGTGTCTGTGTTTGGTTTCTTAATGTCCTGCTTGTATTCTGCTGTTGAGAGCTTCTGTTATTGCTTCATAAAGGTCCCCATAATTACTACTGTGTTTCATGTTCCCATTCTTCTGGCTTATTCTTTCTGTAATTATCTGCCTGAAAATTTGGTGGCAGAAGGTAACTTGGAAGTCTTTGTGAGCTGCCACGCGATATGAAAAAACAAAGGTGAGGACACACAGTCAAACTGTGTTTGCTCAGGTCTGCCTTTGAATTCAGTAACATCTGCCATGTAGAAGGTCCTCTCCAAATGTTGTTGCAGATTTCCCTTTACCATTGGGCAGAGTCACAAGGGGAAAAATGGAAGTGCTCTTTTTTGAGGTGATGCATGTTGGCTACATAGCTTTTTTTTCCTAGTCCAGTAAAATTCAGCCACCTCTTTGGGCAGTTATCCCTGGCTTGTCTCCCTATACTGGTGGCATTTCATCAGTATTGTGTAACTGGTATGTGATGTGGTTTATTGCATCAGCATGAGGAATCTGTACAGGAGGTGGTGCTGTTGCACTAGTTCTAGTGACCCTGTTTCTTCCGCCAGCTGCCGACTGTTCTCATGTTGTCTGAGCATGCTGCAGAGCTCTGCCTACAGTTGACTAAAGCTGTGATTCAGCCACTGCCATCACACACGATTCTGCTGCTTTATTGTAGGCTTTGAGAAAAACAGTGATGATCTGACTTCTTGATCCTTGATGGATTTGTAAAAGACTCTTGCCTAAGCAGTAATTGTCCTTTTTGAGCTTAGAAAGCCACTGGGGAGCACTGCCAGGAAGGAGAGAGTTTCTGGCTTGTTGGGAGGCCAGGGCAAGTCAGGACTTCTGGGCAGAATGAGTCATAATTGTGTATGTGTATTTCTCTCCTTGATCCTCCTTTTTGACCTGCCCTTCCAACGGGACCTTTGGGAGGGGTCAAAATAGCATGGACATCAAGCTCATTTGGCTAAGAGGGCTCAGAATCTGGAGGCTCCAAGTAATGTCGGGCCACTGGGTCATTCAAGGATGGGCAGATCAGTTCTAGCACTTGGTGGGAGCTGAGTTGTCTCTGCAGCTCAGGGTATTGAGTGTTACAACATCTACCCCAGGCTGCTGCAGCTCACTGTGTAGTTTCCTTGTCTTCTTGTGCAGGGTGCCAGAGTTCAATGCAAATTTATTCTTGTTTTTTCCCTGCTAGATGCGTATGTAAGGGGCTGTTTCCTTTCTCTGTCTAGGTAACATTCTTCTAGTCAATGGTACTGCATGTGGAGAGATAAAAATCACAGATTTTGGACTTTCCAAAATCATGGATGATGACAGCTACAACTCTGTTGATGGCATGGAACTGACATCACAGGGCGCTGGTACTTACTGGTAAGCATTGCCTGGGGAACTTGCAAATTACAGATCAAGAACAGTTTATAAACAGCTTTGGATCTATGTCAGCTCTGTATGTGCTGCCATTGTTTGTGACAGCTTGAGATACTGGAGGTTTGAGACCCTGGAAACTGCTCTTGTCACACAGCTCCTTTTGAGGCTGGCAGCTTTTTACTTTTCAGTGGGTTAGTGTTTATACATTTGAAAACCATCCTTTATCCAAAGGGCCTGGTGAAAAACTGCATATGCTGCGTGCTGCTGAGATAGCGAGCTCTGGAGTGGAGCTTTGCTGCTTTTTCACAGTCCATAATGGCACTGTCAAACAGTTTAAGCAAGGAAGAGGAGAATACCATGCCTATTTGGAAATTCAGGTACATCAGGGAGATGGAGAGAGTATGCCACTGAAATGAGGAGGTGAAAATCCATAGTTCGCTCTTACAAAAGATGTAAATCTCGCAGTGCTGTCTAGCCAGAGCTTTGCTTTCAAGTGTCATGTGAAAGATGTTTTCAGCAATACTTTATTCTCAGTGCCAAGTGTTGTCAGTACATCACCTGTGGCTGAGAGCAAGACCTATGGTGAGTGCCACTGAATGTGGTGAAAAGACACCGACTGTGCTGACTAGCTCAGACCATGAGTGTCTGGAGAGTCCTTGGGATCACTGTTCCCAGAAGGGGTATGCATTGGTGATCTTGGCCCAAAGATGCACAGGAATGAAATTGGGTCCCTTGAGTCCCAAGCCAATATCTGATCACAGAAGCTTGTTCCTTCCTTTCTAAAGGAAAATGATTGAAAGTATTTGTAGATGCTGCTCGTAACCTGTTGTCACTTCCTTCTAATCAGGTATTTGCCACCAGAATGTTTTGTGGTTGGGAAAGAACCTCCAAAGATTTCAAATAAAGTTGATGTCTGGTCAGTGGGAGTCATCTTCTATCAGTGTCTCTATGGCAGAAAGGTAAGAAGTTATTTAACTCCTTTCTTAGTGGTGATTCCCAAGCCTTTTGGGAGGTAGCCCTGGCTTCTGCTTCCTTCTCCTTCCCAGGCTTAGAAGGTGCTTCTGCCTTGTCTCCTTGTCATCAGTTCCAAGGCAGAGCCCATGCTAATGAAGTGGGGAGAATTTACTAGGTTGCGTTTTGCTCTACATGGCGCTTCCTTCAGAAGCAATGTTCTGCAGAACGTCTCTTTCCACTGGGCGTGTTCCCACTGAGGCCGTTATGAGCAGGACAAGTGTATCGTTCAGGGCTGGGCACCTGAGGTTCTTGGTCTGGCATTGTTTTGTGATACTTTCAATGTGCTAAATCTTTGTTGAGCCTGATACTGCTTGATGGCTGCAAGTGTTTTAGAAAAAAAAGTAGGTACAAAGATCCACTCAAGAAGTTTTTAGGATGGGTTCTGGAAGAGAAGAGTCTGTATTAGGAAAAGATGATTTGTCCTGAGAAAAGGTAATTTGTTTTATGACAACAGGAGGAATAGATTGGAGCAGGAAAAGGATTCCATCAGCTCTTGTTTTCACAAGTCCTTGGTAACCAAGTGTTGTGAAAGCCTGGGCTGACAAACATGCTGTGTTGCTTAGCGTTGTCAGTCAGACAAATGGTGGAACCAGCCCAGCAAAGATTGAAGTGGGTGAATCTCCTGTCGGCTTAGATAGATGAAGGCCCTCTTGCACATGCTGAAGCTGACCTACGAGGTGTGGAAGCCAGTGGAGATCCCTCCTGAGCCAGAGACACCCCAGACACACTCCAGCTTGGTCCCTTTTGTTCAGTTTAAGTGTGGGAGAATGTGTCGTGCTCATCTAGCTGGAATCTGCAGCACCTTCACAGCATTCATGGGCTTCTTGCCTGGAAAAATGCTGATGTCAGGTGATGATAAACAGTAGCATTATGTGTTTTTTAAGGCCTGTCACTAGCCTTTAACAACTGTCTTCCTTTTTTTTTTTTTTTTTTTTTTTTTCTCCCTTTT